CCCCAAAACCCCAAAACCCCAAAACCCCTGATGGTTGTAAAAGGATTGAAATTTATAGATTATTGGGTGAAGAATTGGTTAATACATAATTGACCAATGTCTTTTATTGCTATTTCTTCCACTGAACTCGATTGAGGTTAGCTCAAGCTCACACATTAATTTTTTACAGATTCTTTCTCTGCTCAAAAGAGACCGTAACCAACAGAATTTAAAGAATTTTTGAGGGAGCACTTCGAGATGGCTATTATTAGTTAACATGTCCTCTCAGGGTTTTCTCTCCATTCTTCCACAAATGTGTTATTTGAATCCTCTCACTCCTAACTTTTTAAGAGAGTGTTTGGAGTGAGAAGAAAATCTGATGCCTTCTATTTATCTTTCAATCTGTAATGCTCAATTTCTACAAAATTAGAGAATAATCACCTGAATGTGAGGGATGCAAACAAATCTTTTGAAAGACTATTGTGAGATATGAAAATAACCAATCCTCACACTTCATAAAGCATCTGCTAAACTTTTACAAATTGGAATACACAATCTCTGAAAATTCAAAAGTTTATTTTCGACTACAAAAGTGATCTAAAACTAGAACTTTATATGCTGGATTATATTTTTCAGTCAACATGATCTTGTTCTTATAATTCTCTTTTTTTACCGCATTATACTTCTCACGCCAGCTAAACAACACATTCACATCAACATCTTACCTATTTCTTAAAGAACCATATATTCCACCTCAACTTAATTTAAGAAGCTGTCAAGAAGTGGACTCAAGTTTCTGAATCTTCCTCATAACTTTCAAAAGCACAGTATAATTCTCCATACTCCATTACCTCTCCACAAGCTACAGTTTCATTCCTTCTTCACTCTTCTTTCCAGTTCATTTCCATTTTCTTAACTATAAGATAGTCCCAGTGACTCCAAAGTGGCTGGAATGCAGCTATTCTTCTGTTTTAGTGCATTTTGAAGTGGAGGGGTTAATTGGGGGTGGTGGCTTTGGGGGTTGAGGAGGTGGGTGGAGGGGTTGGTGAGGTTTTTGGGGTTGGGAGGTTGAGAAAATGGGTTTTAGGGGTGTTGGGGCTTTGATGAGGAGTTTGTTTGTGGAGGAGTGATGTTTGTGAGTTTTATATTGGGTGTTTCATATTTTTGTTTTGAACTTTGATGTAATTTCTACACTATACCACAGATTTGGGGTTTTGGGGTTTTGGGGTTTTGGGGTTTTGGGG